TTGAAGAGCCATTTATTTAGATTCAGCTTATTTGTAGTTGCTTAAGCCTCATGCATTTTTAGTGAATTTATGTTAAGTCAATTTCTTGGCATATTGGAGGTATGGCTATAGATGGCTCCATATTTTACGTATGCTGTAAAGAATATTAAAATAGCATATTAAACTTGTAATGCTGACTATCCTAAGATCGAACAACTCTGAGAAGCGCACACTCAGTCGTAGACAGGTTTCACATCGATCTTCATCACTCCCTCTAAATATATTGAGCTGCGCCGCCGCTGGTCCACAGTAACCCGATAGGCGAGCAGGTAGAATGGGTATATTACAAAGAAAAACATGCACCAGCACTGTCTATTCAGTATTCATTGCTAAAAGACCAGGCAATTCATACATCTTAGCGTCGCAGCAATCGATAAAGAAGGACCTTTGTGGACATTTTCAAGAACAAATAACTTAAGAACATAGGAGTCCTAATGGGCAAAATGAAGGCGCAATCTGAGAGCACTTGAAAGGATAAGAAAGGCGTAGAGGATTTGTTATATTTAATGAACCGATAAGCATAATTAAACCTAATTTTTATAAAAATTGTTCATATATTATACTGTTCAATTATATAATGTTAAGTAGAAGTAACTAAGAGAATAGATGGCGACTTTATATTGCAACTAGACGACATTATTTGAGACCCGAGTGGTTGAGCGGAGTGCGTTTTACTAATTAAATTCGTTGAATTATGCTGACAAAGCTTTGCTTCAAGGACCAACTCATAGTAATATCTAAATTTGAATTAAAATTAATATGTTTGAAGCTGATATATTGAATATGCTACAAATTGAGAACACAAAGCTCTGTGGGCTTGCATCGGACGAAAATTCTCTAATGAGGTTAGTAAGCAAAAATTTACAACAGTAGTAAAGTAGTAGTTTCGAAACAGGTAGCACTACAGCTGCGCAGTACATAGAATGAACGAGGGTTGTTTTCTAATCGAATCTGGAAGAAAGTAAGCAAAGGAACGTTATATTGTTATAGTAATCATCTGGCCGTCATTAATTTACCATCAAAACTGTCTATCTTAATTGACGCGCTCACGTCAGAAAATGTCTTTCTCAAAATAAAAAGTAGAGAATTAGCTTTCACCGGGATTCAATTTACGTAATTCCTAAAAATTGTTTATCGAACTAAAAAAGCTCGATAATATCGAAGTCAATTAGTGCCGGAAGCTCTTGGAACCTGAATCTTATGATGAAGCTTTCCATATCAATTTACCAAATTGGGAAGAATTAGCCTGCTGCAGGAGTTCGATCCATTGCTGAGACCAAAGTCGATTATGACTGGATGGGGAGTCGGAAAGTCCAGTAAGAAAGGGATTTGCTGATGCCATCTAAAATGAAAAAAGCTACGGATGGCTCCTTGGGATTCTCCTATGTTTGAGTTAGGAGAATTCGTACCTGTACATGAGGTAGTAGCACATCAAAGTAAGAGAGCGTTTGTGCAATAGGAGCGCGTTCTTCTTGAGTGTCGGTGGTTTTTGCATTGTCCACTAGTCTGTCGATGGAGAAGTTTAGCGACATGGTTGTTCAACAGTGCAGTCCACCGTTGTGGGACGAGTTGTGACGCAAGATGAGACCAGCTCTGTTCGCAATACCGTTTAGGAGGTTGATGAGCGCTCGGCTGGCTCGGCTTTTTCTCCGAACCGCCCCTCAATTCTAGCCAAATAGATTGCTGGGGCGGGACAAGCCACAGACTTCTGCGACCGCGATTGGTCCGCGGGCCAATCGGCCGACGTTAGTTCATAATGCTCCGAAACGATCCTCCCCTCCGTCATTAGCCAAACCACCGTCAGCGGGCGTGGCTCGCGCTCATAAGGTGCCTGGATATGGCAAATGGCTGGCTCCAGCCTCATGCAATCCATGTCCACCCGTTACACCTGCGGATCGAGTTACAAAATGCTGCCAGATTGAGTATTTATCCGATGCCTGGCAAATGGCCAAATAAACACAGGTTGTCGTCGCGGAATGCAATTGTAATCCGACTACTCATCCATCCAACAACGCATGTCCTCCCATCGAAACCATGAAACATGCTGTAAATCCTGTTAAGCTTACACACGCTTAGATTAATGCAATAATTATTTAAAAAATAGATATTCCAATCCCTAAATAACTGCGATTACTTTGAGTGAGTAAATTTACATATAACTGCCTGTATTCTATGGAAGTTAAATATAAAATTTGCATAGTACATGCTTGAAAACGTGAATACGCTAGGTCTTTGACTGATATAGTTACTATATGAAATCGTTTTTTTGTTTTCTCAAAAAGACTATGCTAATTAAATTGAGTCGCTGTGGTATACCATAAGAACAGATTTGGAAGCCAATCTTACGTAAAATAATTTTTAAATTTTTGGAGGTAAAGGCTTCTGGCGCGATAAGTGCGATGAGTGCGATTATTATCTACTTCGTGCATAAAGATTTATTCACATATTATGATGACAATTAGGAGCATTGTTCTCAGTTTATGTAAGGTACTTATATAGAGAGTTGAATTTTGTAATTAACTTGCTAAACAGGGCCTTCCCGATAGCGTTGAAGGTGTCATTTTGTGCAATAAGAAATTGACATAGTAGTATTCATAACCTACGGAGAAAATTTCTATTATAGTTGAACAATGCTAAACCCTTCCCTTTGAAGA